AGTATGCTGCGGCGGCCAGCTGATAATTACCTCAGGGGTCATGCCTCAGAATAGACTCTGGACCCTCTTTCTGGCTTCACAGAGAGGAAGAACTGCCCTTTCCCTGTCCAGCCTCACATTCTCTCTCCTTTTCCCTGCTGGATCGTGTCCTGTTCTTTTTTATTGAAGTACAGTTTACATACAGTAGAATTCATCCTATATGATGTACAGTTCTGTGGACTTGACAAAGGCGTTTAGATGTGTAACCACCAACACGATCAAGATATGGAGCAGCTCCCTCTCCCCTAAAGTATTCCTCCAGCTGCCCCTTTCAGTCTCCTAGGCCCCCTGGCAACCACTGTGTCAGTCCCTGCGGTCTTGCCTGTCCCAGAATGCTGCATAAATAATGTATATATGAATCATACGGTGTATAGCCTGTGAAGTGTGGCTTCTTTCACTCGGCATAATGTATTTGAGACTTGTCCGTGTTGATATGTTATCACTAGGGTGTTCTGTTTTATAGATGAGTAGAATTTCATAAGCAATCCTACACAGATTTTTGTGTGAACATAACTTTTTATTTCATTCAGGCAGATACCTAGGAGTGAGGTTGCTGGTCATACGGCAAGTGTATGTTTCACTTTACAAAAAAAGTGCCAGTTTTCCAAAGTGGCCGCACCATTTTTCATTTCTACCAGTAAGGTAGGAGGTTTCCAGTTGCCCCACATTATCATCAATACTACCAGTATTAGCAGTTCTTTTACTTTTTGCTTTGTTTCGCTTTTTAATTTAACTTAATTTTAGCCATCCTAATAATGTTTAGTAGAATCTCATTGTTTCTTAAAATTTGCATTTCCCTAAGGGCTAATTTCTTAAAATTTGCATTTCCCTAAGGGCTAAATATTTTGCATATCTTTCTCTGTGCTTGTCTCCCTTATATCTTATTAGGTGAATTGTCTATTCAAATCTTTTGCTCTTTTAAAAAGTCGGTTGTTTTTCCTCTTATTGTTGACTTTTGAGAGTTCTTTATGAATTCTACCCTTTTATCAGATATGTGATTTACAAATAATTTCTCCCATTCTGTGGCTTGCCTTTTCATTATTTTGATTAAACAGTGTCTTTTGAAGGCAAAATTCTTAATTTTGATGATCTAGTTTATGAATGTATAATTTCTTTTCTTTTATAGATCTTGATTTTGCTGGTATATATAAGAAATCTTTGCCTAACCTAAAGTCCTATGTTTTCTTTTAGAAGTTTAATAGTTTTAGGTTTTGCATTTAGGGCTATGAACCATTTGGGGTAAATTTCTGTGTATTTTGTGAGGTTTGAGTTGGATATCCAATTGTCCTGGCACCATTTACTTAAAAGATTATCCTTTTTCCCCATTTAGTTGCCATTATATTTGTCAAAAATAAAAGTGTGATACCTGTAGACATTTTCTCTCATTCTTGTGGGCTGTCTTTTCACTTTCTTGATGGTGTCATGTGAAGCAAAAGTTTTTAATTTTGATGAGATACAATTTTTTTCCTTTTGTCATTTGTGCTTTCGGTGTAATATCTAAGAACTCATTGCCTGATCCCAGGTCATGAAGATTTACTTCTGTATTTTCTTCTAAGAGCTTTATAGCTTTGGCTTTTACATTTAGATCTCTGATCCACCTCAAGTTAATTTTGTATGTGGTGTGAGGTAGGGGATCCAACTTCATTCTTTTGCATGTGGATATGAAGTTATCCCAGCATCTTCTATTGAAAAGACTATTCTTTCCTCCACCGAATTATCTTGGTATCCTTGTCAAGAATCAACTAACCACAAATATAGGGTTTATTTCTGAACTCTTAATTCTATTCCTTTGATCTATATTCCTATCCTTATACCACTGTTGTACTGCCTTAATTACTGGAGCTTTATAGTAAGTCTTGAAATTGAGAAGTGTGAGTCTTCCAACTTGGTTCATCTTTTTCAAAATTATTTTGTCTATTTTAGTTGCTTTGCTTTTCCATATAAATTTTAGGCTCAGCTTGCCAGTTTCTAAAAAAAATAGTAATCCTGCTTGTATTTTGATTATGGTTACATTGCTTCTATACATCAGTTTGGAGAGAATTGCCATTGGAACAATGTTAAGTTTTCTAACACATGAACATGGTACATCTCTATTTATTTAGGTCTTTAAAAAATTTCTTTCATCAGTGTTCTATAGTTTTCAATTAACAGGTTTGCACATATTTTGTTAGATTTATACATAAATATTTATGTACCATTAAATGGCACTTTAAAATTTTCACTGCTTTAATTACTGTATTAACTAATTACTTCTGATTGTTCATTGCTTGCATATAGAAATATCACTGCTTTTTGTATCTTGACCTTGTATTCTGTGATCTTGTATCCTTGCATTTCTAAACATGTTTATTAATTCTGGTAGCTGTTTTGTATATTATTTGGGATATTCCCCATAGATAATCATGTCATCTGAAAATACAGGCAGTTTTATTTCTTTCTTTCCAATCTCTATGCCTTTTATTTCTTTCTCTTGTCTCATTGTGTGGTCTAGGACCTCCAGTACAATGTTGATATGAGTGATGAGAGTGGACAACCTTGCTTTATTCATGGTCTTAGGGGAAAGTATTCAGTCTTCACCATTAAGCATGATGTTAGCTGTAGACTTTTTGTATATGCCATTAATTAGACTAAGGATTTTCCTTTCCATTCTTAATTTGTTAAGAGTTTTTTTTATAAGTCTTGCATACATGTTGAATTTGTTAATATACGTGTTCAGTAGCTATTGAAATAACTGTATGGTTTTTCTATTTAGTCTGTTAAAATGGTGAATTACATTGACTGATTTTTCAATAAATCAATCAGGCTTTCACTCTTGGGATAAACCCCACTTGGCCATGTTGCATTATTATAGTGTATTATCCTGTCTTAGGGTAGCTCCTCATCTTCTCCTTCCCATTTTCTCCTGTCTCACTCCTGTTTTTATCATATGGTACCTTCCTGTCTCCTTTCAAAAGAGATCCACTAACTAGAACATTCTTCAGAATTCCCTATAGTCTGCACCTTCAGCCTCCACCTTCTCATCTCATTCTTTCTCCTTACTCTTTGCCCAGTGGTTCCCAAGTGATTTCCTGGAGTTGCGTCCTCAGGGTCTCCCTTCATAGTCATTGCACTGGGGATACTTCCTTTTGAGTCAGATCTTCTTGCCTGGCTCCAGCCTCGTATTGGTCTTTATTCCTTCATACCTTGGACTTCTGCCGCAGCCTCCTGACCCATCTCCCATCCTGTGCACTATACACTCACTCCTGATGAATCTTCCTGAAGCAGTGTGTTCATCCTGCTATTCTTTGGCTCAACAGTCCTTTGTGGCCCCTGTGTATAAGGATGTGCCAGGCCTCCTCAGCTGGACATTCAGATGCCCCTTCAATCTGGCTTCAGTCTGCCTTTCCAGTTCCATCTTCTGTCTGTTGATTTCCTCTCAGGGTCAGAGAACCTAGATTATTTATTTAAGGACCCCAGATACCTTACAAGCCTAAGCTTCCTAGATGTCCTCTCCCATGCCTGCCGACCTCACCAAATGTGCCCCTAGCCCCAGGCCCAAAGGGCTCCTGGCCTGCCCAGAGATCTCCTCGCATCTCTCCACTCTCTGCTCCTCTCCCTCTTGCTTGGTGTGAGTCAGTTTCTGCTTCCTGTTGTTGGTTCTCTGTCAGTTTTGTCCATTTATCTCCTCAACCAGATTCTATGCTTCTGTGGAGTAAGAGTCTTCTTTACTTGTGATAAACAGGTTGGGTTTTTCTCTGCCATGTGTCTACATGAAATGACAATGGTTGGCTCCTGGGGTGGACTGGGCTGGGGTGGGGAGTTGTGGGAGTTGTGCATCATTGGCAGAGTTGGTGGAGCTGAGAATCTGAGTCTGCCCCTTCCCTGATGGCACATCCAGGAGGCATCTGGGGGGCATCCAAGAGGTGTCTGAAGGGAGCTCATGGTGTTTGTCCAGCAGGAAATCAGAATCTATTGTTCAGCCAGAGAGAAAGCAAGACTTTGAGATGGGAAGGAGAAAGTCTTTTTTCTGTTCACGGGCGGGGGCAGACGGGGTATAGGATGTGTCCAGGGAAAGGTGGTACCACATCCAGCATGAAGCCCACATGGCCTCTGGGCCTGAGCTGGCTGAGGACCCTGTGTGGAAATCTGGACCACCTCAGGCCTTCTGGGAGAATGAAGACCTGAGTCAAGGACAGGCCTTTTGGGTTCCAGAGACGAGGAGGCCCATGGAAGACGAGTGCGGGAGCTGTCTGCCAGGTCCCTTCCAGTCAGCTGAAGTCCCAGAGGAAGGCACTTTGGGACCCAAATGGAGAAGTGGACAAGGGACCAGCATAGGGCTCCTGAGGGCTGGTGGGGCCACAGTAGAAGGTGCAGGGGCTCACCTGAGCTCCTTCTACAGGAGGGACTAAGAATTAAGTTTTTGGAGGGAGAGCTTGAGGCCTCGAAGCCTGAGCATCTTTGTGTGGCTTCTGTCATGTTACCTGAGGCAAGGACTGGGCCAGGATCAGTTTACCCAGATGCCCCAGGAGCTGAACTTGCCAATAGAAATTTTGACTGAACAGAATCTTTTCCAGGATCTGAAATGTGCTCTGTAAACTTGCCTTTGTGGGTTGGTTGTGTTGTGTTTTGTTTTCCTCAGCTCCGTCACAGTATCACCAATACACTAAGCCATTTAATCTTTGGTTCTATGGACATGTTCAGTATGATTATTCAGTGACTCGATGTCCTTATGGCCACACCCTGTCACAGGCCAGCCAAGCTTTAGGCTTTGAGGACATCAGAGAGCCCGGCAGATTGCTACTTGCAGCGGTCAGCTGCGGGTGGATGTCCTTGGCATTTGTTTTCTGGCATCTAGATGTGCATTTGCTAGGATGGGGGCTGGAGAGCTCCACACCTTGGGGCTAGGAGGATCAGGGTTGGGGCTCCCGTGACTGGTGCCCTCTCCGGGCTTGAGCTCAGGGTCCTCGTCTCTCCCTCTGCAGCTTGTCTCCAATGTCCTCATTTTCTCCTGCACCAACATCGTGGGTGTCTGCACACACTACCCGGCGGAGGTCTCCCAGAGACAGGCCTTCCAGGAGACCCGGGAGTGCATCCAGGCGAGGCTCCACTCACAGCGGGAGAACCAGCAGCAGGTGAGTGAAGCCCTCCTGCCTCAGCCCAGCTGCCCGCCTGCCCCCAGCTGTGCTGGCTACAGCTGCTCAGCCTGCTCCCTAGGTGGGGGCTCAGCCCGCTAGGGAATGTTTCCCCTGGAGGAAGCCCAGCATTCCTGGCTCCATGGAAATGCTTAGAAGAGGCTCTGGAGAAGGAGCTCTACCCCTGAACCTCCCCATTGCCAACAAGCCAAGCAGCCCAGGCCCCAGGTGGCAGGATGGGGCCCCCACCCCTCCCCAGGTGCCGGTGAGTTGGAGTGGGGAGAACATCAGCACCCCCTACCTCCCTGGGACTAAGGTGCTCCCTCAGGGGAGAGGGGAGCAGGAGAGGACACAGAACTGTCACCCCTATGTCGAGGTCTGGGGTTTGGTAGGTTCAGAGAAAGGAAGACAGTCCTGTCTCACCCTAACGTCACCCTCAGAGGACTCCTGGGTTAGGAGGCAGGCCGTTCACATGGCCACAGCCTCGGGGCCCTGCTCCCAGTGAGCCCTGCAGCCAGGAGACCTGCCCCTGTGTGCTTCTGGGTAGAGGTGGATGGGGACCAAGGTCTGTGCTGGGTCCCCTCCTGTCTGGCTGCCATCCTTGGGGTGCCCCTATCTGGTCTGGGAACTCTGAGACAGTATGGGGGGCCAGAGTGGGCTGGGCGGCCCCAGAGGAGAGAGTCGGCGGTCAGCAGGGTGGTGGGGCTCCCACTGGACTCACACCTAGAGATGGAAGTTGCTCCAGACTGGATCCTCCTCTTCACATGTCAGCATTTCCCCAAAGCCTCTGCAGGCATAACTAGAGTCCTGCTCTGTGCTGCATGCTATGTCAGGCCTGATGGCAGGTAGCCACCTGGAAGGTCGGCCTTTGAGAGTGAGGACAGGGAACACAGAGGTCTAGATGGCAGTAGTCATCCGCACCCTCATGGCTAGCATGGAGCGTGTGCTGTGGTTCCCTGAGGACACAGCAGTTTTACTGCAATGTGAGGGCTTCTCTGATTCCATCCACATGGATCCTAGGAGGAGCGGTGACATGACCAGGGGACATCCAGACAGCTGAGCAAGGGAGTAGAGCCCCATGGTGCCTCCCCAGGCCCTCCCCTAGTCACTGCCTGTCCCCACCTCCCTTCCAGCGCTACCCCTGTGGCAGTCACGTCTTGCCCCATCTCCAGCCCACACTGCCCAGTAGGAGGCCTGGCTTCCCCCAAGGGCTTTTTTGGCTCCAGAGGCTCCTGGTCCAGCCTCTTGAGTGAAAAAGCCCAGCAGTGTCTCTGAGCCCTCTCATGACCTTTTCCGGACAAGTTTGCCTCACTCTGCCCCCCACTCTAAGCCCCTATGTGCCTCACAAGCCCCCTCCCACCCAGTTGCATGCCCCAGCATCTCTTACCTGATATCAGGATGCCTTTCCCCTTCCATGTTAGGGAGTGTCCTTCCCACTCTGGGCCTCGTCCCTTCTCCAACAAAATTAACATTTTACAGTACATCCCAGTGTCTTGCACTGGCCTGGCCAGGCTGGACCTCCCAGCAGATCCACAGGGGTTCAGGGGAGAAAATATATTTGTTATACCCTGTTCCTGGCTGAGACACAGGGAGGGATGCGTGCTCCTGGGGACAGGCTCCCCTCACCCAGCCAGAGCCCAGTGGCCCTCCGGCCTCCCCCTGCTCTCTGCAGAAAGGGTTGCTCTTGAGTCCCTGGGAGAAGCTCCTAGGTGCCACCCAACAAAGGGACTCAGAATTCTTCCCAGCCACCCCCTGCCCAATCCTCCTGGCCCTGAGCCCCAGAAGTACTCATAAATGTAGGTAGGGCTCCCACAAGTCTAAAAGACTTGCTGCACACTTTCTCCCAGTCACCCTATAGTGTGTGTTTCTATCTCCAGGAACTGTTTACTGAGGGTCCAGTGAGTATGAGATGGGTTTCGGTGGCCAGTTCAGGGGGTACTGAGCAGGGGCCCCTGCCCTAGGCTGGGGAGACCAGGCTGGGGAGGCCAGGCTGACCCTCAGAGAGCACCATCCCAAACTGGCTTAGCAGTGTTTCCCCAGCATAAGGCTGTCATCTGTGGAGCTGAACAAAACACAGCTTGCATCCTCAGGGATGTGTCTCTCTGCATGCACTGAAGGGAGACCTCTGAAGTACAGAGTGATCAGGAACTCTAGCTGCTGGCAGCCAGAGCCAGAACCCTCCTGGGAACAGGGGCAGCCTGAAGGAAGGCTAGGAGTGAGGATGGTGATTATGTAAAGGCAAGGGAATAACTATGAGAAGCTTGGGAGGCTTCCTGTAGCCCATCTCTCTGGAGCAGCATGCAGATTTCAATGCAGGGGTGCTGGGAACATGGAGGAGCCAGACTGTGGAAACCTTGAGGCCAGGCTAGGGGCAGGAGCTCATCCTAGAAGCACAGGGTGGCACAGAAGAGTTTTGCTCAGGGCAGCAATGTGGGCCGGAGTATGTTCTAGGATTGCTCACTGGGTTGCAGTGTGGAGGATGGATCACAGGCGGCAAGCTTGGAGACAGAAAGCCAGGTGGAGACTGTCCCTGTCATCTGGGCCAGACCTGACCTGCTGGAGGTTGAGGCTGGGATGAGGGAGTGGGGCTTCAGAAGGAGAAAAGCAGCAGTCAGACCTGGGGTGGCAGGAGCAGGCCAGGAAGCAGGGCAGACACAGGAAAGGGCAGGTAGAGTGAGGGTGTTGGGTGCAGCAGAAAACGAGGAGAAATAGGCTCAGTAGGTCCAGAAGAATCCACATTTGATGTGGCTGGTGGAACCCAGGGAAGCTTTAGAGGTTTTGAGCAGGGGAGTTGGCATGACAAAAGCAGTATTTCAGAGAGATTGGGCAGCAAGGAAGGCTGAGGAGAGGCTGCCTGGCCAGGATGGCACGGCCAGAAACCCACAGTCAGGGCAGAACTGCATGTAGCCAGTGGAGGTGATACAGAACAGAAAGGACAAATCTGAGGTCCGTATCCAAGTGTGCAGGACTTCAGCGGTGCTGGGCAGGGCCAGGGCTGCAGGACAGGGAAGAATCTCTGGAAAGTTCTATAAACTAAAAGCAGTCTAGCCTGGACAAGATCTGGACCTTGGTGATCAGGAGAACAGGCAAAGGCAGGGAACTTGAAAATAGGAGCTACTGGGGAATGAATGCACACCTGGGAAGGTGAGCATGGTTTGGGGAGTCACGTCAAGGTGAAGGTGGCAAGACATGGGGTGGTCAGCTGGAGGCTCAGGAGCCCGGGATGAGGGACGGGGGTGGGAGCTGAGCGGTGGAGGTGTTGCGGCAACCTTGCTCCCAGAGGCGAGAGGGAGCAGGAAGAGGAAGAACCAGGGATGCCTTTGTGCAGCGCAGGAGGAGGGGGGGGAGCCAGACAGACACAGGAGCAGAAGAGTCTCAGGACCACTTGAGGGGGTGGCCCAGCACCTGGTGCCAGCTAGAGAGTGAGGGCGTGGGGGCAGCTGGGATGAAAGGCTCCAGGTGAAAGAATGCCTGAGCGAGCCTGGCAGAGTGGTGTGGGTGGTGGGCTGCGGGGGGCACAGGTGGAGGCTGCCCACTTGGGATTCAGCTGGGCCTCTCAGAGCAGGCAGGCCCAGGAGGAGATGCAGAAAGGGGGCCAAGTCCGGACCCCATTGTGGGCTGATGTGACCTATGCCCTCTGCAGTGTGGCCCCAGCCCCTCTCCCTGCTTCTCTCCCATCTCCTCCCCGACTGGTTCTAACTTGTCTCAGTTCCTTAAGGTTGGCCTGCTTTCCCTGTCTCCTGGGCCACCACCCCCTACGAGGAATGGCACTCCCCTCCTCACCCCACTGCTCTGGCCCCCACTCAGCCTCCTATGACCGCCCCATTTCTCTCCAGCCTAGGTAGGGACCCCTGTTCAGTACCCCCTAGTACTCCATCCCCCCTTGAGACTGGGTGCTTTGTGAAGGAGGAACCTTGCCTGTCTTGTTCACAGTTAGAACTACTGGCACCCAGAAAGCCTGGGGCATGGTAGGTGCTCACTAAACATTTGATGACTGATTGAATGAGTCACAGTTAATGCCCTCAACAACACCATCACTATTTACAGATGGGAAACCTGAGGCTCAGAGAAGTGCGGTAATTTGCCCAAGGCCACACAGAGTCTCAGGAGACATCCTGGATTCTAACCCAAGGTGTTGGCGCAACAGGTTCACCTGGAGTGCTTTTCTCCTGGTACCCTGAAGAACCGGGCGGTGTCCCAGGGAGACGGGAGCCTTCTAGCCCTGGGGATGACTCCAGCCCCACCATGCACACAGGTGTTAGCCCCCTGAGTTTCAGGAGATGTTTTCCAGGGCCCTGCAGGTGACGCACAGGTGTGGAGGAGTCAGCCTGGGGAGGAGAGGGGACTGCCAGGCAGGTGGAAGGAGCTGTGACGACAGCATCTGCTTCCCCCCAGGAGCGGCTCCTGCTGTCTGTCCTGCCCCGTCACGTTGCCATGGAGATGAAAGCCGACATCAATGCCAAGCAGGAGGATATGATGTTCCATAAGATTTACATCCAGAAACATGACAACGTGAGGTAGGGGTGAGGCTGGGGGGAGGGAGGGCGGAGGTCCGAAGCCCAAAGGAGACGCATCCCCCCTCCCTCCCCTTCAAGGAGTCCCAGCCCAACAGGGCATCTGGTGGCTTTGGAGTGTTGTCTGGGGTGCCCCTGCACTGCCCCTCGAGGTCTGTTAAGTGAGCTGCGGCTTCAGGGAGAGGATACAGGAGGGAGGAGGAGGAAGGCCAAAGTGAGAACACGAACTCTTGGAAACTTCCAGCTGAACAAGGAGACAGAATGCCGACTTGGGGCTCACATGTCACCATCATCACCTCAGTGTTCAGCACCATCTAGCAGCCTCCACGCCTTCTAGACCAGGTGTGCCAGGCCTTGCCCGCCTTCCTGCTCGTCCTCCTTGAAAGCTCTGCGCGGCGGGGGCCCTTATCAGCATCCCTTGTTTAGAGACTGAGCTCAGAGAGGCTAAGACCCTTGCCCAAGGTCACTCACCCAGTAAAGCTGGGCTTCACCCAGGGGTCCACCCGAAAGCTCACACTCCTTTTACTGCACGTGGCTGCTTCCCTAGACAGAAGCTGTTGACAGCAGGAATGTGCAAACAGATGTAGATTAATAGAGTGCAAAATCTGCTTAAGAGTTCCCTGGGGACATGAAATGAAAGACACGGTGGCCTTCATCAGACATGGCCTCCTGGAGTACCCAACAATACCCCCGTATGCCCAGAAAAGAAGCTGCAGTGTTTGCCTTCAACAGTTACTTTCTCCCAGGCAGGTCTTCCTAGGAGCCACAAGTCCTCTAAGGTTGGGGTAGAGAGAAACCTCTGGATAATGTAAATCATTGCACATGCATGCACGTACCCCCTGCACCCCCCCCACCACAAAGTAGATGTCCACTCAAGGTGAGCTGATGACAGCGGAGTGGGGAGGGCACTGTGTTTTCATGCAGGGCAGGCAGAATGGCCCAGTGCCCGTCTGCTTTGGAATCCATGGCTGTCAGTTCTACCCTTGGGTCCTCTAGCCATCTCCCAAGACAGACTCTAAGATTTGGGGAGAAAAATGGACCTGCATTGCACTTTGTCCTCAGTTTTGGGGTATCCCAAACCCCTGGAAGCCCATACATGCCCCACTGTCAGACAGGGACAGTGCAGCCAGCAGCAGCTCTAGTCTCTCAGGAAGCAGGCTGCCCCTGGGCAGGTCTCCATGCCTGGAGGTGTCCTGAGGGGCTGCAGGCTCAGCCGAGCCAAGCTCAGAGAGGGAAGTGGGATCCAGGCCACAGGAGGCGGTGCTGGGCTGGTTTCCAGCTTCTCCTCACACCTGCCTCTGTCCTTATTGTGGAATAATCACCATCAATAATGGTTAATACTTAGATAGAGTTTCTGTAACCCACTCACTATTCCAAGTGTTTTCATATTTTCACCCAGTTCCCACAGTAAAAATAAGAGGTTGGTACTGTTATTATCTCCATCTTGCAAGTAAGGAAACTGAGGCACAGAGATCAACTTGTCTAAGATCCCATAGCTGGTTAGGTGGAAGAGTTGCCCTCAGAAAACTTTAGGTAAAGATCAGAGTCTTTCCCTAAACTGACTACTGGACAGATGGTTTTCATATGCCCAGGAGAAAGGAGTTGGCAGGAGGAGTCTGTGGGATGGAGTTTAGGGGAGGTCCCAGGTCAAGAGGAAAGAGGTTTGGCTCCCAGCATGTGTGTGTGTGTGTGTAACAGGGGACCACCAGGGGCAAAATGGCAACCCCTAAAATCTTGGGGACTCCACCTTATGTCATGTAAAGAAGCAGTGTTCCCTATTAGCACAAACCCCAGGGGCCCAAGGTCCAGGTGGGAAGGGGTGACCTGCCAGGTGGCCCCAACACCCGCGAGCCCCTGAGCTCCCCTTGTCCCCGCCCCAGAATCATCTCACTTGGTCCCGTCTTCACCCCCTTGCTGGCTCTGGCACTGGTGCAGACAGAACATGGACAAAACGTGCCCTCCTCAAGGGCTCTTTGCACAGCAGAGCTTTCAGCAGATTTCAGTAGAAAATGAAGTGGAACACAAAGGAAATCCAGAAAATTCACTGCCCAGAAACAGTCTGGCATTCAAGGCACAGATTCTCAGCCTGGCTTGGCTAACACATCTGGCACATCTGGCCACCTCTGCCTCTTTGCCCAATGCCCTCTGACCTCCACATGGCAGGCACCATCTACACCCATCCCTCTGCTATTGGCTCAGGGCCCCCAACACTCCAGCAAGGAGGTTTGGTCAGAGGCGCGACTTAGGCCCCCTCCACCACAGGGAGAGGCCCACCCTCGGGGTGTCATCCCCTCTCCAGTCCACATCCTCAGAGACCTCGTGAGCTGTGACTTTGAGTCAATAAAAGGACAGTACCCTAATCACAGAGTGGCTGAGAATCAGACCCCAGCCACAATGAGGATATTTATATTCTGGGACATGCTCAGGATCAATGAGAGCAATCAGGAATGAGATGAAAGGGGAGAAAAAGAAAGATGCCTTCGTTTTCATAGGGACAGACATAATTCTGACTCTGAAATTGCCAGGCTAGAGGTGGCTGGTACACACCAGAGGCTAGCTGTGAGCGATCATATGCAAACATCCCACAGAGGCTCCTTTCTGTGTTCCATTAGCATCCTGGGCACAGCTCCTGATAGAAACACAGTGCTTGCTCCAGCCTCTGCTTTTGGGTTGAACCTTTGGCTTGGTTGGGGGTTGAATAGTAGGTGGACAGTGACATCATAGTGTAGAAACATGCTGTGGGGCTGGGCTTGTGGTACAGTGATGAGGCCAGGGGATTGGGGTTAGGCAGCCCTGCATGTTGTCCCAGCCCTGCTATTTCCTGGCTATGTAATCAGGGCAAATTATAGGCACTGAGACACTCTGAACCTCAGTTTCCTCATCTACATAATAGGCTAGGAAGAATAGCTACTTAGTAGGGTTGTAAAGAGTAAATAAAGTAATGTGAGGTAAGCGCTTAGCACAATATCTGGCATAGAACAGGTGTTGGGTTCTGAACCTCAGTTTCCTCATCTACATAATAGGCTAGGAAGAATAGCTACTTAGTAGGGTTGTAAAGAGTAAATAAAGTAATTGAGGTAAGCACTTAGCACAATATCTGGCATAGAACAGGTGTTGGGTAATTGGGAGCAGCTACTATTGTGGTTAGTGTTATTATTATGATTATTATCACACTCCTATCAACAAAGAGGCCTGGGGATTCTAGCTGAAGAGTGGAACGGGGATGAGTCACACTGTCAATTCTCTGTGGAGTTGTAAAATTTACAGAGGGTGATGACATGCTGTTCTTCAACCCCAGTGAGAGCAAGGCCACAAGAAGAATAAATCAACTCTGCGGTGTGACAGTTTGGGTCTGCATCTGTGGAACGGGAAGAGACTAACGGGTAGGGGAGGGTTGGCCTGGCAGGGAGGGGTGACAGGTAGGTGCCCACCCCTCTGTGGCCTCATTCTCCCTGGCCCCAAGAAGAGCAGTTGCATAGCATACAATTCCAGGACTGCCAGGAGCCTGTGGGATGCTTTGGTGCTGAGCCACCACTGGCTAAGGGTTGAGGAAGGCTGGAGGCCACAGAACCCAGGGGGACCCCCTAGAGCACCCCCAGATGCCTCTCCTGTCTGACGTGTGCTGACAGATGGAGCTGTTGCAGCCCCTCTGGCCGGACAGGCCAGCTGGAGCTGGGGCCCACTGCTGGGAGTCAGGCCTGTGGCCTGAGGGCCCTCCTGCCTGTCCCCACCTCCCTGCCCAGGGACCTGCTCTTCCCGCAGCTGCAGTGCCAGCATCAGAATTGGGCTGTGCTGGCCCTACTGTTGGGACAAGGGCCTCTAGCACATGCTAGCAGAGGCTTCTCTGGGCTGGGGCTCCCAGGGCTCTGCCTTGGGGGAGGGGAAATCACAGTTAAAGGGCCGGGCAGCCGGAGAGGCATCATACCAGGGAGGGCACATCCCTGTAGGTCACAGTACAGGTCAGACACAGCCAGAACCCAGGTACCACTGAGCTACCCGGCCAGGATGTCACCACTGCAGAACAAGATGAGTGTCTGTGCCGGGCAGACTGGATCAGGCCCTGCTCTGCCACTTACTAGCTGTGGGAACTTGGGCAAGTCACCTAGGTGAACCTCAGTTTTCTCATCTGTAGCACGAGCACAGTGATGTCTATTCACCCATCCATGCAGTGGATGTGTTATCTCTGCCTCCATTTGGTGGGGATCACCAGCTGTGCTCACAGACCCTCAGCCAGAGGCAATGGTCACAGTGGGAATTCATAGGGCCACTGCCTCTGACACTGGGAAGCTCTTGGGTTCAGGAAGTCACACTGAGCAGTGGATTCCTTAGTACATTGTAATATATCACAGGAGGATTCGGGGGAGGACTACATTCTTGAAAGGTGTAGATGGTACACAACTTACTGCTCAACTATTCTGCTACAATTGCAATCAAAGCCACAAAGGAGGGATCCTGTAAGAGGGGGCCCTGGAGCCCCTTGCAGGGGTGCTGGGAAGGTAAGTGAGGTGGCTATAAAAAGCCCCTGACCCAGGAGGTGGAGCAAACAAGAGTCAAGGGCACATAACCCAATACCCCAAAAGTTTCAGGGGCAGGAAACACCCCCAGCCAGGCCTGAGAAGGTACTGAAGGATTCCCTACTTCCATAAGGGTCTCTGTTGAATGAGGGTGGCCCCGCACCTGATTGCCTTGTCCCTACCCTGGACCCCCAGTAGGTTTTAAAGTTTGTAGGTGGTGAGGAGGGTCAGAGATCATTCCAGAGACTGCTCTCTGTGCACTTGGAGGGAAAGCTGCCTCCTCCAGGGGGCACTGGTCCTCTGCCGAAGACACCCATTCATCACAGAGCTCCATCTGTTTGGACCCTGGGAGGAGTTCAGGATGGCATGTGGGGGTCTTGGCTCACTGGCCTGAATCAGAGCCTCATTCTCAGGGACCCAGGAGTCCCGTGGGGCTGGAGCCAGGGGGCTGCTGATCCAGGTGTGGAAATGAGGTAACACCTGCCCCCA